ATATACATATATATATATATATATATATATATATATATATATAGAGAGAGAGAGAGAGAGAGAGAGAGAGAGAGGGGGGAGTCCGCTAAGAAAAGAGTGACACATGGTCTGAAGATTGTATGCATTGTTTCTTATAACCACACACTCGATGCTAATAAACATGTGGATTCGATTCTTACTCGGTGGTCACACCTGCGGCTTTAAATTACACTTAAATTAAAATAATACACGTATGATTTTATTAGTTTCTTCGTGCAAATTCCCTCGGTGATATAAAAGCTGTATACTTGACATAAAATCCCCGGTCTGAATAAAGAGTTTAACACGTGCAAATTTGGAGTAAGGCAAGTTCTATAATAAAAATGTATATAAAGTCGGTTTGACTATCATGCTTGTCTCGGCGAAGCAATGGCCTTCAGTTGACTGAGTGGAAACGTTTTCTTTCCATCGATAGTTATACGCATGCTCATCCGTTATTGAAAAATGATATCCTTGCAGCTTTTTTTTTCGAATTTTCTCAATAGGACAGACAGTAGACTTCGATTTGCGAAGTCTTTTTGACTCTATTGAACCAAACATAATCCTCAGTTTTCTCGAATCGATACTTTTTTTATTGGTGTCGCATTTGAAAACCGATTTCCTGAAAGTCGCTCATAAGACAGTAAGGTTTTTAAGAACAAATGCCGAAGAATTTCATATATATATATATATATATATATATATATATATATTTTTAAATAATGAATAATACAATATGTAATTTTCGTAGATTTAAAGAAAGGGGAAGATATCGTATAGATGTCTGTATTTGTATGCATATCACATTGGAGCTCTTCGATGAGGAAGTATTATTAATTATTGAGCTTGATTTCGGGGCTCGATTCCAGTCACTTGTCCACCGTCCTAAATTTGTCTCTCTGTGCCTATTTTACAAATACACTGACTGCTCTTTCCTTTCTCTTCATTACAAATGTTTCTGTTTCTAATTGATCCACACGCTGTGACCCCTTGCTTGCCAGATGCTGTACTGCCTTGCATGAGGTGATACCGATTAAAAAAAATACTTGTACAGCTAGTATTTCTTCGTTTCTACATTTCTTTTCTAAGCATTTTCCGATTGCTCAAATCTTAACCTCTCCAAGTCTAGGGTAAGAAGTTATATTTCCTACATTCTATCATAAACTACTTCCCGCCTTCAGTAACCCTTTACCTTGCGTGACCTTTGGGCTTTGTATAAGGTGAACATGGCTAAAAATCAAACAAGCTAAACTTTGAACAGTAAAAGTAATAACTGAAATTAGTATATTTGCAGCTAATGGATATTAGTATGTAAATTTGCGACTAGAACATCTGATTACATTCTGTAAAATGAAGGCATGAGCCAATAGTGGAAATAACTGTAAGAGTACGTCAGATTTTTTACTTATACCGTGATCAATGGTGATCCGCCCCTCCCAATCCCTATATCTCTATCTCTCTCGTGGGCATCTCGGTCATTATTAAGAACTGAGTAGTAATATCTGTATACATATATATATTACATACATATATATAATGCATACATATATATATATATATTACATACATATATATATATTACATACTTATATAATTTACATATATATATATATATATATTACATACTTATATAATTTACATACATATATATATATTACATACTTTTATATATTACATACATATATATATATATATATATACTTATATATATTACATATATATATATATTTATATATATATATATATATATATACATACTTATATATATATACACATATATATATATATATGTATATATATACATACACACACACATATATATATATATATATATGCATATTGATGCATGTTTCATTAAATAATATAGACAAGTTATCAGACAACATGAAAGGAATTTGCCTATAACAAATAGACAAAACTTGTCTATATTATTTAATGAAATATGCATCAATGAAAAATTGCTGCGCAAAATACACATATATATATATATATATATATATATATATATATATATATATATATATATATATGTATGTATGTGTGTGTGTGTGTATAAACCCTTAAAAGTACCTGGTTTTATCTACCATGCTATATAATTACAATTAACTGAACAGAATTAGCGGTATGAAACTTGCAGTAATATTCTATCATTTGGGGTCTTCTCTCTAGTACAACCATCGACGGCTATCACTCGCAAGATTTGGATTAACACGTGGTTTGGTTTGGTTTGGCCAAATGTTTTGCCAATAGTGTCACATGCAATGATAGTCTTCCCAGGAAGATAATCTCACGAAGTCACTTTCTTTATCGAATCGATTATGTCTAGTTAGTAACCAAGATATCATGAACGGAACGTTAATCATCTAACCACTCCGAAGCGCATCGAACAATCGATGTACCACGAGAATTTAATGTTTCCTTTTTTGATGTAATTTTTGTTAAGGACACAGTAATTGTTGTTAGGTTAATAACAATAAATTTATATTTTCTTTCCAGTTTTACTGCTGTTAATCTTCGTACAAATTTAACCCGTGCTTACATTATTCTACATTTCTGCCACGGTACATTATATAATTAAGCAACTAAGTTTGAGTTACGAAATATCCATTATGTTTTAGAGTAAAGATGTTATGTTCGACTCGAGTAGTATTCTCCAAGGATATAGCTACACTTCACAGCCATAAAGTGTTATTGATTACCTCCGAAAAAAAATGTCTACAACGTTTCAAGCTTCACAACAACTGTACTCAAAATCAATGTTGCATTGAATTTCGTGTTTGAATTACCGACGTTGGAAACTTTTCTATCAGCGATGAGTTCAATTAATTTCCTTTGTGATCCATTAAAGGGTCGATGCTTTTCTGTGGATCATCATCTCTTCTTGTTTAGAGTCGAATTTCTCTGACATTTTCAGGATCTGCCAATAAGAAACAATGATACAAGAACAAATATTTCTTTTCACCGGTTCGGCTCTCAACGCAAGAGCAGAAAAACAAACAAATCAGTAAAATAAGAAAATGTGTTCTTTGAAATTTTCGTGGCGATAGAAAGTAAAATCGAATGGTTGAAAAACAAACGAAGGTTAATCACGATTGAAATTTAACTAAATTTTGCTTCTTTATTTCGTTTGCGTTTTTTTTTTCTGATCAATTCAGAACAGACTCATTAAAAAGGAAATTTTCTTTTAGTCTCCCTAATGTTACTCATTTCTTTTTGCAGTCCTACTGCTCGGCTTTTCCTTCTTCTTTCTTTAATTCTATTTTGATGTTAATTCCTTCTGCAATAAGCATGTTTGGTCCGGCTTCTTGAGATTTCTTTATGTCTTTCTCTTGCAACTTATTTTCTTATTCTTCGTATTACGACTGATGTTAACTTTTACTTTCTGCATCGACAAACTTCTATTTTTCTTTTATTATAGTTAATATTCCTTTTCTTTGTATTACGACTGATGTTCCAATTTACTTTTCCCAGTGACTAAACTTCTATTTTTCTTTCTCTTACAACTAATTTGTTTGGTTTACGACTGATGTTAACTTTTACTTTCTGTAACGACAAACTTCTATTTTTCTTTCTTTTACAATTAATATTTAGTTTCTTTGCATTACGACTGATGTTAACTTTTACTTTCTCCAAAGACAAACTTCTATTTTTCTTTCTTTTACAATTAATATTTAGTTTCTTTGCATTACGACTGATGTTAACTTTTACTTTCTCCAAAGACAAACTTCTATTTTTCTTTCTTTTACAATTAATATTTAGTTTCTTTTTGCATTACGACTGATGTTAACTTTTACTTTCTCCAAAGACAAACTTCTATTTTTCTTTCTTTTACAATTAATATTTAGTTTCTTTGCATTACGACTGATGTTAACTTTTACTTTCTCCAAAGACAAACTTCTATTTTTCTTTCTTTTACAATTAATAGTCATTTTCTTTTTATTACGACTGATGCTTCAATTTACTTTTCCCAATGACTAAACTTCTATTTTTCTTTCTCTTATAAGTAACTTGTTTGTTTTATGACTGATGTTCACTTTTACTTTGTCTAACGACAAACTTTTATTTTTCTTTCTTTTATAACATGTTTTTCTCCTTTACTTCTGATTAAGGTTCCATTTTCTCTTAGAACTAATTTACTCTTCATTTATATCTTATGACTAATATTCTATTTATTTTATTACAAAAACGTCCTTTTTATCTGAAAACTAATTTATATTTTCTATCTTTTACAACGTAGTGTCCTCGTGTTTCAAGATTGATTGATATTTTATTTCGTCATCAGAAAGATAATGTTCCCAAATTTTATCTCTGAATATAATTTTTATACTTATGACTAATATTTTCTTGTTTTTGATAATTTTATTTTCCTTCTCGTATAGCTTATGGGCCTTTTTATATCTTAAGTCTCATATTCTATTTTTCTACTTTTTAATCATCTACTTTTTACAGTTACGATCGATGCTTCTTTGTCTTATCATTTTATTTTCCATTCTGTTATGACTAATATTTTTTTTTCTTTATCTTATGATAAATGTTTTTTTTTTTGTCGAGATGGGGGTGGGGTTTAAGGTGACATCATCACGTTGAATCATCGGTTTTCGTAGGATCACCAGCATCGAGTCACAATATCAGTTGACGTAAGCTTGGATGTGCGAGTGGTGTAACGGATAATGGTTCTGAATTGAAAATCGGAGAGACAAGTTCTAATTCCAAATAGGTTCATCATATTCAATTACACGCAAGTGCCCTTGGAAAATGTATGAACCCACGTTTCCTCTCCCCAGCTGTGAGTTAATTATTTAATTATGCATATTACCAGTAAATTATTATTATTCCCCCACAAAATTTCTGACAATCTAAAAAATATTTTCGGGTTGTAAATAACCTGCAAAAGGTTGATAAACCGTAAGAAACAAATCAATAAATCTATTACGACGATTTGTTTCTTTTTTCTCCGACAAACTATCATTCTGTCGCTATTAATGTCTTCTTTTACGATAACTCTTGTTTTTCCCCTTTTAATATTATTACATTCAATTGCTTTTTTTGATATTATTAAACTCTTTTTCCTTCTCTTGGTACTATTACATTCTTCTCCCTTCTCTCGAGACTATTGCCCTATTTCTCCTTCTTTCGAGAATATTGCTCTATTTATCTTTCTCTCGAGACTATTGTTCTTTTTCTCCTTCTCTCGAGACTATTGCCCTCTTTCTCCTTCTTTCTAGACTATTGCCCTCTTTCTCCTTCTTTCGAGACTATTGCCCTCTTTCTCCTTCTTTTGAGACTATTGCTCTTCTCCTTCTCTCGAGATCATTCTACTCTTTCTCCTTCTCTCGAGACTATTGTCCTCTTTCTCCTTCTCTCGACACTATTTCTGCCTTTTCCTTTCTTTAAAAAAAATCGGTCGCTTTTTATTTCTCTTATGGATAATGTAATTTCCTTTTTATTCTCTCACGATTAACGTTCATTTTTTTTTCACTATCTTTTTGGTTGACATTAATATTTCTCTTCTTTTACTTCTGAATGTTATTCTCATTTATTCCCCAACTCTTAATGTTCTATTTTTCTTTCTCTTATGATTAATATTCTCTTCATTCTCTTCGGAATGGGGTACTTTTTTTCTTTCTGTTGAAGCTAATTTGTTTTCTTACAAATAACTAACTTTTTGGTCCTTTTTTTTTCTTACAACTAATGCTTACTTTTTTTCTCTTATGACTAATGTTTTTTGCCCAATGTGTTTTTAACTCGAGTAATGTTAAGAAACATTTTCGTGAGATTTACAATATATTACCTTTTTCCTGGAGGAAGTGAAACCATTGTTAATATATTTTAAATATATTATGATTATTCTTTATGAATTTGAAATATTTCATATCTTAAAGCATTGGCATGATATCCGTCCTTCACACGAAAAAGTCGTAATAGAACTCTTACTTCTATAAAATTTCTGTATAAAGAGTATTTTCAGAAGAAAAAAACATTTCTTTTTATTTCCTTTGGTCATTATGCTAAGTCTGCTTGAATTTCCTAGTCGAGATGAGAGAAATATTTTAATAATTCCTCATGTTTCGAATATTATTAATAAAATGTAATTCAGCAAACTTACTATGATTTGTTTGCGGTTGTTTAAATAATTCGATACAGTTTTAAGAGAACCTAATTAAACAGATTATTAGGACATATTTATAAAATTCCGCAATGGTTAGGTCTTGACTGATGAAGTTGCGATAATGTCAGATGACTACAATGGTTACTATGAAGGGTACAGGAAATTGAATCGTTTGCAGGACTTAAAATTATGGAATTCTATAAAAGTTTAATATTAAAATTATTTAATCCATGCCTACTTCTACAATAATATATTTTTAGAAGCCATGATTAGCCTTATTTTATTCTTTCTTTAAAAGTGAACACATTAATACACACTGATTTTTCCACATCCTGAAAATGTAACTACTCTGAAATTTTTCCTGCTAACTTTCAAATGATTTTTTGACAAGACATTTATAATTTTCTTATATACAAACACAATGAATTAAAAATTATCAGTTGAAACATTCCCATTATATGGTATTTTCTAAAAAAATTGAATTAAAAATAACACGGGATATTTGTTATATGCTTTTTAAAATGTTTATGCAAATTAAACGTATATGCAGTACGATCAATTTCTTAGTGATATTTATAAGGCTGATGGTAACTCCAAAACTAGGGTCTGTTTTCTTCGATCGATGTAAGTTGGGAAGACACAGATAAAATTTAGCCGGATCTGAATTTATAAATGATAGCTAATAAACTGGAGAATAACGACCTGATCACATGATTTTTTTATAGAATTCTTTGTTTTATTATTTTCTGACATTTTCTGTCAACATTTTCCTGCACTAAAATTGTCTGTAAGATTTCAGTAGTATTTTTCTTGATAAAAAAAAAAATCCAAAACCATTTTCTCAAATAATCATTTTTTACAAAGTTTATGAAGATGAAATATCCCAGGGACCGACTTGAAGTGACACCATGAAAAAAAAAAATAGTTACAAAAATTGGAAAAGCGCCAAAAAAAAAAAAAAATCTCTGAAATTCAAAACAAAACCTCGAACGACATTTTGACACGGAGCCGATGGAATCAATTTGGAGGCTTTCAATTCTTGAGATCAGTGCTTTTTGCAAGGAAGCCATCGAAAACCTTTTAAAAATCAAAGAAACAACGCAATCAAATCAATGAAGAAAAAACTTTTTAATTTCCGTCTTCTTGCAACTGCTACGATCTCCCTTCATCGTAAACCGTTTTATTCGAATCAGATTACTTTAAATTAACTGAGTAACATTTCCTGCAAACCCTTCATTTTCTGATCAATTTATTCATTTTAAGTATTTGTTCATAGACTTTGTATTGTTTGTATTTTGTGTTTAGTATTTCTTTGGTATAATACCTTCTAAATTTGCAAGGCGCTTGCTTTATTTAAAAAAACAAAGTTATTC